ACCGCCAGCGCTGGCAGCGCGCGCTCGACGCGGCGCTGTCGGGGGGGCGCGTCGCCGCGGCCGCGGCGCGGCCGGCGTCGTCGGCCTACCCGCGCCACGCGCGCAAGCCCGAGTGCGCGGCCGCCGCGGCGCCGGACTCGGACGACGACGCGACGCTCGGCGACGAGCCCTTCCCGGACGACGACCCCTTCGACGACGGCCTCCGGGCGACCATGGCGGCGACCTTCAAGCTCTACCCGGATCCCATCCCCGTGTAAGGTCAACGATGAGTTCCGTGTTTTTTTTAGAGGCGGTGGTAGCGGGTCCGGGAGTTGGCCTCCCAACCTCTCCCAGGCGGCTTACGCTCGGCTTGGCGAGCATCCACAAGGAGACCGATCGACCCGGCCCGCCCACAATTCGCCGCCGCAATTCGCCACCGCCCCGTCGACGATCGTTCGAGATGAAGCAAGAGTACGTCGAGAAACAGAAGGAGTACGAGGCCAAGAAGGCCCGGGCGAAAGCACTGCAGCTTCGACTGACCTGCACGATCTGCGGAGTGAAGCCGAAGACCTTGCTGAATTGCCCGTGCGGCACGACGCAGTAGCGCCCGGCGCCGACGCGCGCGATGGGGCCGGGGGTGGCCCGACGCGTCCCGTCACAGGTACTGCTCGACGGACTGTCAAAGAATCGACTGGCGCGATCGCGGGCACCGCAAGGCGTGCAAGAAGATTCGAGCCGAGCGCGCGGCGGAGGCGGCGCGGGCGGAAGCGCCGCCGTCCCCGCCGTCGCCCCCGGTCTACGGCCCCGCGCCGCGGTCGCACGCCGACGAGGTTCGCGCGCGCATCGCCGCGGAGCACGAGGCGGCTCGCGCGCGGCGCGAGGCGAACCCGGAGCCGGAGCCGACGTCGGCGCGTTTCGGGTCGCGGTGCCCGATCTGCCTCGAGGAGTGGGACGTGAATGATCCTTTCGTGCTTCGTATTTGTTGCTGTCGGAGAGTCTGCAAGCCGTGCATGGAAAAGATGGGCGTTGAGCCCTGTCCTCTCTGTCGGGCGCCACCTTACAGGACCAATGCGGCATACTTAGTGCACATCCGCCGCCACGTACAGAATGAAGTGCCGGAAGCTATCTATCATATGGGAAAGATGTATATGGATGGCGCGTTGGGCTGTGAGAGATCTGCAA